TAACTACTAGGTACGTACTACTACGTTCTTACTTATATATATATATTATTATATAGTAGGTGTGTGTAGTAGAGAGAGTAGAGAGTAGAGGTAGTGTGTACTATATATATATATATATATATATATATATATATAATATATATATATGGGGAGCAAGAGAGAGAGAGTGTGTGTGTTCTTCTTCTTCTTCTTCGAGAGTGTGTTCTTCCCCCATGGGGTCATATGTGTGGTCTTTTCATTGCTAAATGGGCTAACCTTAATGCAATGGCAAATTAATCAAAGAACTGAGAATTTGATTAAAAATATTTGTGGAAGGGTACAAACCTAGCTTCATAGCGTTTTGGTTAAACAAAGACTCTTTCACAACAAAAATATACAACTCTGGATCAAAACTTTATACCAACCCTTATTTATAGACAATGTAAAACCTCTAGGAATCCTATTTCCAATATGACTTGAACTTCTAATGAAGTCATCATCATCATTAGAGCCTTTTCCCAACTCTGTGATTGGCTAATTATGTTAAGATTGTCTCTTGCCTGGTTGTTAAATCAGCTAGTATTTGCTAAACCTGACTCATCACTATGATTGGATTAAGATCCATCATTGTCATGACTGACCAAACATCCTTTAGAGGGATTGGTTGCACCTTGTCCACCAGTTTTAAAACTCCTTCAGTTCAAATGTTTTTTATGTTCCTCGCAAACCAATTCCTTGATTCTCCTCTTCAGATCATTATATTCCTCCCATGTAATTTTGCATCGCCAGCATGAACTTGACTCCCTCTGGCAGCCATCACACAAACTTGGCACTTTGGATATGGGTTTGCTTTGTTACCAACTAATGCAACAGCAAATTTACAAGTAGAAATCTAGAATTGAAAATTGGTTTGAAAATATCGGTGGAAGGATACAAGCGAAGGTTTCATAGCTCTCTAGTTAAACCGAGACTCTTTCGAAATAAAAACATTCAACTATGAATCAAAGTCCTTATAAACCCCTATTATAGGCAAGGTCGACATTCTGGACGAGCGTGGGTAAAGAAGTTAGTCCAAGAGAATAGGATTTGTCTAGCCACATGGAATGTAGGAACGCTTACAGGTAAGAGTATGGAGTTAGTGGATACAATGAGACGAAGGAGAGTAAACATAGTCTGTCTATAGGAAACTAAATGGCAAGGAAAAAGCTAAAGAAATCGATGAGTATAAACTTTGGCATACAGGAAAAGATAATAATAGAAATGACGTAGGAATGATAGTAGACAGAGTTAAAAGATAAAGTAGTTAATGTCAAGGGAATAGGTGATACGCTCCTATTAATTAAACTTGTGTTAGGAAAGATAACTAACGTAATTAGTGCTTATGCATCACAAGTAGGATTAGAGGATGGAATTAGGAGACAAGTTTGGAAGGATGTGGATGAAATAGTCCAAGGCATGCCAAATGGAGAGAGGACCTTTTGGGAGGGAACTTAAATGGTCAGGTAGGGAAGGATGATAGAGGATATGAAGGGGTACATGGGGGATATGGGTTTGGGGAAAGAAATGAGATGGGTGAGGCTATTCTAGATTTTGCTATGGCTTATGACCTAGCAATAGCAAATACTTATTTTAAAAATTGAGATGGACATTAATAACCCATAAATGTGGATCAGATATAAGCCAGATAGACTTCTTAGCTAAGAAGATAGATCAACCATTATGTAAAGACTGCAAGATTATCTTGGGAGAGAGTTTGACATCCTAACATAGGCTCGTGGTTATGGACGTCTGCATAAAGACATAAAAGCGAAGGGGGTGAAATTAATAGGTGTCCAAGAACTAGGTGGTGGAATTTTAAAAAAGAGACAATAGACTTATTTAGGGATAAATTAGTGAAAGAAAGAAAATGGAACTTTGAACGTGAGGTCAATGTTATGTGGAATGAGTTGGCTGACTGTATTAAGAAAGTGGAAAAAACGTTTAGGAGAATGGAGAGGGAAAAAAATTCCCATTAGAAAACTTGGTGGTGGAATGATGAGGTTAAGATGGCCATTAGCGAAAAACGATCATGTTATAGAACTTGACGTAATGTACTAGAAATGATCAAAACTTGGAAGAATATAAAAATGCTAAAAAAGCGTGAATGGATAGTGGTAAATTTGAAAACGTAAAAAAATTGTCTTCAAATTAGCAAAAATGAGAGAAAAAGTGTGGGGATCTGGATCATGTTAAAATGCATTAAGAGTGAGGATCAAAGGGTCTTAGTGAAGGATGAAGAGGTCAACGAAAAGTGGAGAGTTTATTTTCAAAAATTATTAAATAACGAAAACTATGGGAACATAGTGGTAGAAGGAACCATTGGAATAAATGAAGGTGGAGTTTATAGATACATTCGTAGGATTAGGATATTGAAGGTGAAAGAAGCTTTGAAAAGGATGAAGATAGGAAAGGCTTTAGGACCAGATGCTATCTCGATAGAGGTTGGTCAGCTGTTCAACAAGGTGTTAAGAGCGAAGAAAATTTCAGACGAATGGAGGAAAAGTATTGTGGTACCTATTTACAAGAACAAAGCAGACATACAAAATCATGTGAATTTTCGAAGGATCAAACTCATGAGCCATACTATGAAGCTCTGGGCGAAAGTGATAGAGCAACGATTAAGGCATAAAACGAGTGTATTAGAAAATCATTTCGGTTTTATGCCAAGGAGGTCAACAACTAAGGTTATTTTCGTACTTAGGCAACTGATTGAGAAGTTTAGGGTGAAGGGAAAAGACCTCCACATGGTCTTTATTGTTATAGAGAAAGCTTATGATAGAGTACCTCGAGATTTGATTTGGTGGGTGTTAGAAAAGAAAAGGAGTCTTCAGACACTACATTGACTTGGTGAGAGATATGTACGATGGAGCGCTACTTAGTGTACGAACAACTAGCGGAGAGGAGTGAATTTTCAGTGACATTAGGTATACATCAGGGGGTCAGCATTGAGCCTATACCTCTTTGTCTCAGTTATGGACAACTTAATTAGGCACCTACAAGATGAGGTATTGTGGTGCATGTTGTTCGTAGATGTGACAGTTTTGATTGATGAGATCTGAAACGATGTCAACACAAAGTTAAAACTTTAGAGGGATGCTCTAGAGTCTAAAGGTTTTAAAATTAGCTGGACAAAGGCAGAATATATGGAATACACGTTTAGTAATAATAGGAGTAGAGACGGGGAAGTAGTTAAAATTGACGGCCAGGAAATACCAAATAGAACACATTTTCGATATCTTGGGTTGATACTTAAAGCAAATGAAGAGATTGGGGAAGATGTCACGCATAGAATAAGAGCTGGGTAGGCGAAGTGGAGATGTACAACCAAAATTTTATGTGATCGTTGCATACCAATGAAGCTGAAGGGCAAGTTTTATTAGACAACTGTGAGATCAGCTTTGCTCTATGGAGCGGAATGTTCGGCGGTCAAAAAATTATATACTCATAGAATGAGTGTAGCGGAGATGAAGATGGTGAGATGGATGAGTAGCAAGACAAGAAGGGATAGAATTTGAAATGAATACATTCAGAAAAATTTAGGTGTGGCACCAATAGGCGATAAGGTGAGAGAGACTAGACTTAGGTAGGCTGGTCATGTGTGGTGCAGATCCAGTACAACACCTGTTAGGAGGTGCGAGTTAATTCAAGTGGAAGGCTCAAAAAAGGGCAATATGTAGGCCAAAAGGACATGGTTGGAAGTAGTAAGAAAAGATATGGGGACTTATGACCTCATTGAGGGTATGACCCTTAATAGAGCAGAATGATGAACTGGGATTCATATAGCCGACCCCAATTAGTTGGGAAAGGTTTTTGACGACGACGACGACGGCGACGGCGACGATGATAGACTAAACATAATTTAATCCTAAAGAAATCCCTTTTCTAATATAGCTTGAACTCTTATTAAGTAATTCCAATAAAATTGGACTCCTATCTAAAATCGGAGACAAAATGATACTTTTAACCCTATGTGAAAGAAAGACTGATTTTTAACCCCAATTATTTTCCAGACTAACCCTAAAATCTTTAGAAAAACTTAAAAACATCCTGTTCTGCATCAACTTATCTGGCTGGTTAACATGGCATGCTCCAATGATTTTGTATCTTTTCTCGCACAATTAAAGATGTACTTAAAAAAGTCAAGCTATAGTGAAATTCCAGTATACCCTTCACTTTGCTTCGGTTGAGTTGCCAAACTGAAAGACTTTGTTCAATTCACTCGAAGTGATACTAATCTAAAAACACTGGTTTGTTCTTAAAAATAAAAAAAGGGTAAAGGAAAACATAGAATTTCGGAATGCTAACTTCATTAAATCAAATTCGTAGATACCATTGAGAGCCTATATATTCTCTGGCTTGGCGTGGCTTTTATTTGGCCAGCATATTTTTCAGTTCAGCTGAAAATATTTTTCTTGTTTTTTCTGTTTGTTTGTGAAGATTCAACGTTCTGCAAATGAGTTCACTGAAGAATTTGATTTTATCGCTATGAATGACAAGTTCAAAAAAGATGAAGTATGGGGCCATCTTGGCAAGGCAAAGGTAAGGGAGAAGGTTGAAGATGAGGTGGAGCATAATCCTGATGATGGTGATGCAGGTGATAGCGAACGCCATGGGCAACACCACCCTAAGTTGGATGCTAAAGTACATATTGTTGATATTGCTATATTATTTGCCTTTAATCTTTGCCTTTACGGTACTGAAAATTCTGTTTGTGTGTGTGTGTGAGAGAGAGAGAAAGAGAGAGGCTTTAATTCATGAATCTCTCTCACTAGTTTGTACTTCAGGTCCTTGTGGCCATTACTGTAGCTCTGCTGCTGTAACTGTTTCTTCACTGCAGCCAGTGTACATCAAAGATGAGTTCTTTGATTCTCTTTCATCTAACATAGCGAGTCGTGGGATGTGGAATGGAAGGACAAGGTACTCTGAACGGATGAAACTTGATACAGAGGTTTGCTTGCGTCCTTCTTTGAGCTTGATTCTTTTTACTTCATTAACTGATGCAAAAAGACAGATGTTCTTTTCTCTTCATTTACATCAACGTTAAAGCCTTGTTAACTCCCTTTCACTTCATTTACATCAACGTTAAAGCCTTGTTAACTCCCTTTGGAATTTTAAGTTAATATTTGCTCAATTTTTGATGATACTCTTTGTTTTTTTCCTTAAATTGAGTTGCAGACTTTTGGTGATTTCAATCAGAAGGCCCATTTGGGTCATGGTGGCCGTGGTGTTGGCCATCGTTGGGATTCCAGGGGACCATCTTACAGGGGAAGAGGATATGGTTATGGTGGATGGGGTCGTGGAGGATGAATTTAGTGAGAGAAATACTTCGAGAGTAATATTTTGAAGTTGAACCGTCGTCAGTTCTTCATTCATTAGGTATGCTCTTACAAGATCCGCCTCTCATCAGCATTCACATATCTAAAGAAATGTGGTTGTGCTGTTTTTTGGCTTTGTACATGTCTCCTTTGTTTAACCCTCAACTTGATGAAAGAAAAAATAGGGAATTGTCTGTCTTGCTTTTTGCCTTTTAAGACGCTCAGTGCTAAGATGATCGTTGGACTGCCATTTACTAACTGGTTGTAGAAACTCTGGCTGTTTTTCTTTGAGTTCCCTTGAGTCTTCTTTAATATCATCTATAGCGAAGTCTTCTTTTAATACCATCTATAGCCATGACCTGTTTAGTAGTGCAGGACCACATTCTGTGTCTCTAGGAAACACAATAATGTTGACATATTGTTGTGAAAATTAGAGGGTTGCGATTGATCATAGGGAGCCATGTAAAAAAGTTGTAGATCATTGTGTCATGTCTTTCTTTCCTGTGTAGTTTGTTGCATTGTTTGTCGTTTTCTTCCTTTTTACATGTTGATGAAAATGATTTTGGACTAGTACTTTCTTTAAGAATATATACTCCCAGCCCATGGATCCTGTCCATTTTCAGAATCGCCAACTTCTTCTTTTGACTGGTGACATATTAGCCAGTTTTTTAGAGACGTAGGTTAAACAAAGAAAGAATGGCAGGAATTAGGGGTTCTTGTACGATGATCAAATGGTATATGGTATGTGTTTTGTCAATGGGCATTAACTGTCCTTTTTTTTTTTTGCTGATCTCCAGAGGAGTCTGCTAGCACGGGGGCCCCTGGGACATTCATCTTGGTACGTGATGGATCCTCGATCATTGGCTAATTGGAATGAATGGTGGTTGCCCCTTTCATCCTGTACTTCATTGGATTATGGTGTAATTTCCTATGTTTAGATGTTTTCTGTGTCTCAAGCACAAGCAATGGGCAATGCGAATGGCCCGTGTGCAAGCGCATATCTGTGTTATTGATCTCTAACATGTATCCTATAATGTCAACTTTGTTTATTAAAAGAATGTGTGATTTGCTAATCAAAGTATAGCGAATAATGTGATCTGGGTACAGAGCATTTATAACGTGAAAAGTGCAGTATTAGTTCTTGCACATTCATCGCTATTGGTTTATCATTCGTAGTACGTCCCACCGAAAACAGAAGTTTATTTTCAGTAGTCTACTGTGTACTAGTATTAGCATCACCCGACTTTTCCAAAAAAAGAAGTTTTATTTTCAGTAGTCTACTGTAGTAGACTTTCTCCCCTGTTACGGTCTTGGCAAGTATACCAGCACACCTTCGCTAGAAAATCTTTATTAAAGACGGCGTGACAAAAAGACTTTAGTTGGCCATTTTATTTGAAATTTCTCTGATTTATTGTGCACGTTCCATTGAATAATTGTTTGATTCCATCTTCATGAGGGGATTGGAAAATGGGCTGCTGGTTGGAGTCTTCAGCTTAACTTCTGTAGACCACATCACAAAGACCACACTGTTTTGTGAAGGAAAAATATGTTTTTTAAAAGGGCATGGTTGATATAAAGTCGAGGCTCTAAACAATCAATGTAAGTGTATCTTCAAATAGTGTCGATAACGTATCTTTAAATAGTGTCGAGAACTGTAGCTTTAATATTGGAAACGTTTATGATAGCCTTAAAAAATGATTTTATTTCTAATTATAAAATTTAAAGCTTAAAAAATAATGTAGATTGAGTAGATACATGAAAACTTCAAAATCTTGAAAGTTGCTAGTCCAAAAATGAATTATAAGATGTATACTATTTTTAGAATTTGAAATCTATTGTTTTTTCTTGTCCATGCATCTTAAGGTCGAGATGATCAAGTTGATGATATTTGGGCATCAAAACAAATTTTGAAGTGTCCCTAATTGATTGTTTAGAGCCTCACACTCCTATATCAAAATTTTCCTTTTTAAAAAGGATGTGGTTTCCATAAGGTTACAACTTTAACTCTAAATTTTATCATAACATGTAATTTTGGTGTAAATTTTTTTTAGAGTTATCTGGAAATCTATTTTTGTATCTAATTATAAAATTTTAAACTCAAAGAAATGCTTAAAATCAAGTAGATCTATAAACATATGAAAATTTTGAAAATGGATGGTTTAGATAATGTATTGTACGATGCACTATTTTTTAGATTCGAAATATTTTTGTTTTTTATATTCATATATCTCGATGATCAATTAGAGGGATTTTCAACATTAAAACAACCTTTTCGATGGATTTTGGGTTGTATCTTTAATCGTACATTTTAAGGTTGCTACCTTATATAAACTTCTTTCTTTTAAAAATCTTTCATTAGGTGTCTCCTTCATATTTTTGTTAAAAATACTCATACTACCTTTGTTTCGTGTATCCTTCATATTTTTGTTAAAAATACTCATATTACCTTTGTTTCGTGTATGTAATCTTGAACAAGCGATTGCATTGTGGTAATTTACTCTGATTAAGTTGTTCAGGCCAAATGATTTAAATACTCTTATTTTTTTATTTTTTTTGAACAAGTGCGAGAATTCATTAAGGTAATGAAGGCTCCAAAATACTCTTGCTTGTTATCTGAAATATTTTTAATAAACATGGTGAACGAATGGAACACGGAACAAATAGTGATGTACGGATCAATTGGCTTGAGTAAGTTAAATTGGCCAAATATTAAAGTGCACTCACTTTCTGTAGTTATTTTTATTTTTATTTTTTCTTGGGGGGTGACGTAAGCATCATAGGAGTAGGTTCACAAGCCCCTTTCACATCCGGGCCGAACCATGTGCTACAAATCAATTTGGTTTTTTGTTTTTTTTATTTTAATTTATAGGTTTAATTCATTATGAAAATTGGGTAAGGCATGTCTATTTATGTGGTGAGTTTTATAAAGATGAAAGTAAAATTAAAAAAAAATGACGAAAATACTCCTCAAATATTTAGGGGTTTTGTAGTTTGAAATATTTTTTATTTTATTGGATGTATAAATATTTATGAATGCCTTAATTTTCATGTAAAACATAGAATAACAATAAAAATAAAAAAATAGATTTTTAACCCTTAGGGGGAGCCTCAAATTTAGTTCGAACTATTGAGGGTACTTGTGCACAGTGTAGGATGGGTGGTTCAAATTCTAACCGCCCAGCTATATTGGAATCAACAACTGGTGGGTTTTGGTATCGTTCAGTTTTGGTGAACTGGCCAGGTATTTTAAAAAATTCAAAGAAGTATGTAAAATATTAAAAACTAAGAGATTTTGTTTGCATTTTTTTTAATGTCTTTCATCTTTTTGACAAAGATTGGAAATTGTTTTGACTATTAATACTTATTATAATATTTCCCATCTTTTTTAATGTTTTTTAAAAATACCCCTGCCAATTAACTTTCCTACACTGCGTGTGCGTCCTTGAAGTGTCCACTCTTTATAAACCAGGGTCTATAAGGGTAGAAAGTATGTTCAACCCAAAAAAATTTGAAAGCAGTGTAAAAATGGCAAAAAAAAGAAGGAAAAAAGCAAAAATGATAGCAACAAGAGAAAGTATTAGAAATATTTGGAAGATATTTAACTCCATTTTAAAAATGACAGCTGTTATTTTCTGGTTTTTGACATCAGTTTTTTAATAAAAAATGGACAACGGATGCTATGGCGCTGATACGTTAGTTTGAAGTTTTGAACGTATCTTGTGTTCACGGCCCTGCTTGTTGCGTGTATGTTACATCATCGATTTGTGTGTTGGTTACAGCTGTTATTTCAATTGTCTGAAAAAGGGTAAACTTACGTCCATACTTTTTTTTAGTCAACTTTACTTTTGGACGGATGTTAGAAACATCGCAACGTCTTAAACCTTAAAGAGTGAAGTCTAAATGTGGAACGTTTTAAACTTTCAAAAAATGAGGTTTAAATGAGGTCCCATTTTGGGAGAAATTTTATCAAAAAATAAAAAATTTCAAAAGCTCGTCTTTCAAATAAATAACGATCTATTTCGCGGATTTTTTGGTACGATGGTTTAAAAAATAGTACGGACATAAGTTTCCCCTTCAATAAATGTTGAATAATAGCGGTCCAAAGCAATACATATAGTGAAGGAAAAAAAAAAAAAGAGTCATGGGGGGCATACTTTATTCTTGATCGAAATTGAAGACATTGCTTGACAGAGAGATGCTAAAGAAAAGTATACGTAATCTTGCCAACTGGATGTTTATGTTCAGGGCTTTTGTTTGTGTAGAGAGAGATTATTATTATTATTGTTATTATTTTTATGTGAGAGGGTTAAAAATTGAAAAAAAAAAAAATAAAAAATCTCAAATCAATTTTTGAGGGGCCTGGGGTGGTCCATTCTCCACTTACTTGATGCCCTGTCCACCCGTCATTGTGGTCTTCATGAAATGATGATACAAGGAGAGGTTTGCCGTAAGTGTTACGAATGCCAATGAAGCCGCACCGGCAAAGACTCCATCTTTAACAATGTAACACTCCCCATCTAACCATCCCTTCCCATACTCTTGCTGCCTGCTCATGCTTGTACCCACACTCAACAAAACAACGCCAAACGCATAACTTACCCTGCCAAAAAATTCATGCTGCCACTTTATTACTTCTACTATAGCACCCCCAAATTATTATTATTATTATTATTTACACATGTACCCACACATACACACATATATGTGTGTATATAAGGTGTCAATTTTGAGCAATTAAAATAAGTAAACACATCTCTAAATCATGCAATTGTGCTATTGAAAAACATTAATAATAGTTTGAATCTATTTCTACCAAATTTAAAGCTAGAAAAAGCTTACATGTCAAGTAAATATATAAACACTTACATGTCAAGTAAATATATAAACACTTACAAAATCTCAAAAATCGATGACATAAATAATATGTTACAAGATGCAGCATTTTTAAGATTTGATTATTGTCCTTTTCATATCCGTACATTTAACATTTAGAGGTGGTCAAGATGATCATTTGGGGGTTTTTATTTTTTTTTGTTAGCCGTAGGACCTTTTCCGCTAGTCTCTGAGATGTACCTTAGTTTATGTTGATGTGTTATATAAATACATCTATATTGATGCCTTATATAAATATTACACACACATAAAAGCACAAATAAAAAGAAAAAATATTAAATGATTGTCCCAACCCTAAAAGGTCATGAATCTATTAAAAAAAGATTTCAAGTTCTAAAAGTAATATATATTATGCCACCTTATCGAGACAGTCTATTTTCGAGTATTTAAAGATGTGCCAAATTTGCACTATTTTTTTTAGGGTGCAGTTGGCGTACGGATGCATCCGTAGCTGTAGAGATAAGGTGCACCTTCAAATTTTGTCATGGTATATAATTTTGATATAAAATGTTCTTAAGATTATCTTAAAATCTATTTTTATATCTAATTATAAAATTTTAAATTTAAAAAATGGTTAAAATCAAGTAGATCTATAAACAAATGAAAATCTTGAAAATGGACGGTGTAGATAGTATGTTGTAAAATGCACTATTTCTTAGACTTAAATTCTTTTTATTTTTCATAATCACATATCTTAATGTCCAGATTATCAATCAAAAGGGCTTTTCAACATTAAAAATATTTTTTTCGATGGATTTTTGAGGTGCATCCTTAGTTCTACATTATAACGTTGCGTCCTTATATAAACTTTTTCCCTTTTTTTTTTTTTTATTCACATCTCAATATGGGGGAAATAGACTTCAAGACCACCCAAAGAATTTTCAACATTGAAACTGCGTTTTTCAATAGTGTCTTGAACTGCCACTCCACTAGGCCTGATGCTAATGGCACCCTCTATATATTTATGTGAAATTGTTAGAACGCACTCAAACCGTACGATCATGAATGGGAAATAACAAAAGAGGGAAGATCTTTACGGGGAAAGGAGGTTGGGGAGAACCTTTGTGCTGAGCCTTTATTCCATGGGCAAAAGAAGAACCATAAATTATGTAAATAGTAACTGAAGCTTTAAGAATCGAAAAAAAAATTCAATTTTTTATGGAAAAAGGTTTGATTGGACTGCAGCCTTATTAAAATAACTAAAGCCTCACCTCATAACTCATCCAAAATTGTATTTTTGAAAAACCTTAAAATCGTTCATCTTGTCTTGAATATTATGGTTGTGAAAAAAAATTCGGATTTAAAGTTATAAAAATAGTGCATATTGTAATAGATTATCTAGACCGTCTATTTTATTCTAAAAATTAGTATTTAAAAAAATACAAGATCGGTAACAATTTTTTAGTTTCAAATTTTATTGTTGGTATTGAAAATTGATTTTAGATCCATTATAGAGATTTTTGTTGTCGAATATGTTTTCGGGACAAGGTTTTGAGGTAAAGCTTTATTTTATTTTCATAAACCCAGGCTTTATAGAAAGTTCATCCAACTTTCATTTTTCATTGGTGAAGAGCACCACAAAATTGATCTAACACGAATCTCTAAGATCAAGGGTTTCTACTTTTCAGAGATAGAAAAAGGTTAAATTTTTGGGATTTTGAGAGGATGTAATTACCATGAGAGAAGGAAAAGTGCAACGGTAAAGCAGAGCTTTTGGGACTTTGCATCAAATTCCATTCTTTTGGAGCAGCATTTAAAGGCAATTATTGAGCCCACAATAATCTGGATAAGTGAAAGACATATGGAGGCAGCAATTCCCAGTCCAAAAACTGGACTTTCTGGTAGGAAACAAAGATTCACATCCAATTTCAGGTCTTTCACCTGCAAAATCCCGTACAAACCATTGAAACATGCAGGAGAAAAGAAAATCCCTTAAAAAAGAAATAAATGACATCCAGAGGAAAGAGTGGAACAATAAATACAGGAAACGAACAGGTAAAAGAGAGCCACTTGTCTCAAATTGAGACTCTCAAATCTCAATCAACCAGCATATAGCAAAAATTGGATCAAAACAAGGTCCACAGGAGAAAAACGCAATATTTAATAACCACTCTTATTTTATATTGAACAGGTTGAAAACAACAATTAAATGGGAGAAGCAAGGGAAAAACTCAAAAAGGAAAATAGCCATTGTAAATGGAACATATGAAATGAAATAAATGAATCATTAAGTTTACCATTCAATCAAGCCAATTCACGAGAGAGAGAGAGAGAGGAGAGAGAGAGAGACCTTGTTTTTCCTGAATTCAGCTGCAAGACACGCTGCAATGGCAATCAGGCCAAGGAAAGAGACGACAGAGCAAATGGCCAAGGTCTCTGATCTTGGCTTCTCCATAACAGGCAGGATCAAATGTTGCAGAATTAAGAAGACATAAAAACCCTGAGAAACTGAAATTTCGCTTGGACTTCACTCAAAGAAATGGCGTGAACAGTCACTTTAGGCTTTTCTTGAGATTGCAACTTGGTTTCTGAGGACAATTCTTTATTATTTGGGGAGAAAAACACACCTTCCAACCGGAGTGGTGGCGTGTTGGAATTACTTCGAAATTGGGTTCATCCATGGAATTCTTAAAGTGGTCAACCAAAAACCAATCTCAGAAGAAGACCCAACTTTTGTTTTCTTTGAACAAAGACAAGAAGCCTGCCTATGATGCTCACATATGCTACTTTGGAAGAGGTCAAAAATTTATTATTTGAATATGAAACCCCCTGATAATTGAATCTCTCTCTTTCTCTCCCAAGATGGGATGATAATGGGGTTAACTTTTTAGTTTGCTTCTGAGTTTGAACAGGGGACAAAGAGAAGGAGGGGCATTGAACTTGAAATTGTTATCAATAGATTTCTCTCAATAATTAATATTTTTCTGATCACCGAGGCATTTTCATGTGGATTGAGGTATTCTATGCAATAAAATAGTCCTGTCCTCAAAGAAATTTGAAGTGACAGCCCATATTTGTGTTTCTCCAAAGGAAATAATCGAAAAGTAATGTAAAAAGGTCAACCTATTTTTTAATGAAAAAAAGTTTATATAAGGTTGCATGATCAAAGGTGCACCTCAAAATTCATTATAAAAGGTTGTTTTGATGTTGGAAAACCTCTAATGGATCATATTGTATTGATATTGAGATGTATGAATATGAAAGAAAAAAAGATTTCAAGTCCAAGAAATAGTGTATCTTACAACACATTATCTGGACCGTCCATTTTCAAGATTTTTATATGTTTATAGATAACTCGATTTTAGCCTGTTTTAGACTTTACAATTTTATAATTAGATATGACAATAGATTCTCAAGCCATTCTAATAATTTTTTATACCAAAATTATATTTATGATAAAATTTAGAGTTGCGCCTTAATTGGATCGTTCAAGGTTGCAATTTTATTGAAACCACACCCTTTTTAAATTAAGAAGATATTGTGCAATCACAATTTCCAAATTTTAAATAACTACCTCAGTAGGAAAAAGAGTCACAGGCTTAATTGGTTTGCAACGCTATGTCCTAGATTCAATTCCTACCAAGAGTAGGGGCCCTCTCCCCACTTACTCACGCAAAAACAAAAAACCTAAGTGGAGATGTGCCATTGTACCTAAAAAGGAACAAGTTTATATAAGGTTGCAACCTTAAAATGTAGAATTACATATGGACCTCAAAAATCCATCAGAAAAGATTGTTGTAATGTTAAAAAAACCTCTAATTGATCATCTCGACATCGAGATGTATGAATATGAAAAAAAAAAAAAAAAAAATTTCCTATAAATAGTACATCTTGCAATACATTATCTAGACCGTCCATTTTCAAGATTTTCATATGTTCATAGATCTACTTGATTTTAACCATTTTTTGAGTTTAAAATTTTATAGTTATATATGAAAATAGATATTGAAAAAATCCTAATAAGTTTTTCACCAAAATTATGATACAATTTGGAAGAGTGCCTTAATTGGATTGTTTAAGGTTGCAACCTTATAGAAACCACACTCAATTGGATTGTTTAAGGTTGCAACCTTATAAAACCACACCCTTGTAAAAAACCTCCAAATTCACTTTTATTTATGGATCCTTAATTCAATGTTCCAAGCCACAAGATTTACGTCCTCCCATATGAGCTTTTCTAGGAATACTAGGACCCTAAATTTGATTTATGTTTTGACCAATCACTAGGACCCTAAATCTTAGAGAGTAACCTCCTCCTCACATCATAACCTCGAAAAAAGAAAAAGAACCAAAATAGATATGCACCCATTATGCATGCATATCCAAATATTGAATACATGAGAAAATCCACTTCAAGTAGATCATTTGCCCAAGGAGCTAGTCAAATTCCTCCTATGGGATTACTTATTGTCTTATATTGTCTCACTTTTCTATTTTTTTGAAGGAAAATTATAGTAACCCCTCTCTTTTTCCCAAAACTAGTGCTTTTGATCAAATTGTTAATCTCAAAATGATTTATTTTTACATCCAATTTTCAGGTAAAAAAGTCGATTTTTTGTACCAAAATACCATTTTTTAATCTATATTTCCAAAATATGGTGCTTAACATGTGCAGAGCTTGCACAAAAATGTGCCGAACATGCTATTGACATAAAGTCAAAATGTGCCAAACTCGCTTCTTTTGATATTCAAATTCTACCGTTCCGGCACAAAATGCATCTGACTTGCTTATATTGAAATTGTGCCGGTTCAACACATTTTGTGCCATACTAGCTTCACAGGAGTGAGTTGGGGCACAAGTACCGGCTCCCCTAGCATCTCCCGTTTTTAGGCACAGATAAGTTTGATCATGCAGTTTGAACGTCACGGGCCTGATGAGTTGACCGGCTTAGAGAGGGAACGTGGGTTAGAACGAGGGTAGTTTGGTCTAAAAAAGTCAATTTTTTTGCTTTGGGGTTGGATACAAAAATAAACAGCGTTGGGGTTAATAATGTGGTATCAAATGTAGTTTTTTTTGGATGGAGGGGCAAGAGAGTGGGTGTACAAGCCTAGAAAGTTTAATTTGGGAAAAATCTATAATTTTCCATTCTTTTAAGAAGTGAATAAGATAGGTTAATTATTTTTCTTGGAAAAATTATGAACAAACCTTTTCCCTTTCCCTTTATTATGAAATACTCTATATTTTTTATGAGGAAACCACCCCAACCTGCTGCCCTTTTTTTCCAGATTGCTCACCTAGCTGACATTTTCAACATTGAAGTGAATAAGGCAGGTTAATTATTTTTCTTGGACAAATTATGGACAAACCTTTTTCCTTTCCCTTTATTATGAAATACTCTATATTTTTGCAAAAATTATGAGGAAACCACCCCTACTTGCTGCCCTCTTTTTCCAGATTGCTCACCTAGCTGACATTTTCAACATTTAAATGAATAAGGCAGGTTAATTATTTTTCTTGGAAAAATTATGAACAAACCTTTTCCCTTTCCTTTTATTATGAAATATTCTATATTTTTGCAAAAATTATGAGGAAACCACCCCCACCTGCTGCCCTTTTTTTCCAGATTACTCACGTAGTTGACATTTTCAACATTGAACAGGTAAGAAATTCTCCAACTGTTGTTTTTTTCTTTGATTCAAGGTTTGTTTGATATCAGTAATACCCAATAGCATTATCTATTAGGTTGTTCGATGTTTATAAAATCAGACTGCCCAAAAGTCGAAGTTCATGGGTATCCGAAATTAGCAAATATCAAATAGCTGAATTTGTTGTAAATCAAGCCTGTCTAGTATTGCAAATACCACAAAGCTTAAAACTTAAAAAAAATAAAAAGTTGTAGATTCATCTGTCTGATGTTGCTAAAGTCGGACACCCTAGGAACTGTGGCTTGTTCGAAATTATAAACATTGAACAACCCAACAAATAATGTTGTTGGGTGTTTCTGACATCAGACGTACCCCTTGAATAAAAGGAAAAAAAAATGAAAACTGGAGAATTTCCCATGTTTTTGTTGTTGGAAACAACTTCTGTACCAAGGATAGTCTCTGCCGAATTTTTGCAAGCATTTTGAGCATTTCATAATGAAGGGGAAAAATAGTTGTAAATGATTTTGTCTTTTTTCCTTCTTAGTAAATCAGCTATAGGAATCAAACCTAAGATATGGTGTTACAAAAGTAAAGGACTACCCTATTAAGCCTAGACACATTTTATTTGATATATTGTCATTGTTGTCACCATCATCATCATTCAAGCTTTATGCTAATGATTTGAGCCAAATTGCATCTCATAACCGGTATTGTGTTAGTTCTATATCGCATATAACTAGCGTATCAAAGTCTACTTTTCCTAATCTTATCACTTATTGATGTCACATCTAAGTTCCCTCGTATATACTGAGTTCTATCCGCTCTTACGTTATCAGTTGTAAAAATCTCAATAGAAGAAACATAGGCATTTCATTGTCTTCAATTCTGGCGCCATTGGAGCACTATAAAATTTGCCTGCCAAAAATGGCAAGAAAAACCAAATACCCAATGGCTTCCTGGAGAGAGTGGGATAACCTCTCTCACATGCCATAATCAATTGTACGGTGTGCTCCTGATTTTGGGATATGTTTAAATAATTTTTTTGTCTAAATGATTCATTTCTGAATTTTGTTAAGCTAGTTGTATTATACCCTCTTAAATGTACATTTGACACTATTTCAGTTTAATTAAAAGTGATTTTATTAAGGGAAAACATTTATATAAGTTGGAAACCTTAAACGGTAGAGTTAAGGTGCTCCTCAAAAAGCCATTGGAAAAGGGTATTTTGATATTGGAAAACCCTCTAATTGATCATTTTGATATTAAGATGTATTTATTTAAACAAAAAAAAAAAAAGATTTTTGAATCTAAAAAATTGTGCATCTTGCAGCATATTATTTGGATAGTCCATTTTTAAGATTTTTATGTATTTGTAGATCTACTTGATTTTAACTATTCTTGAAGTTTAGAGATGAAAATAGATTCTCAGCTCACCCTATTAGTACCCCGTACTTCTTCCAGAAAACCTCCTAATTGTTCCAGAGCAATTAGAATGACCAAAATTATATCCTACGATAAAATTTGGGTAACTGTTTAGGGGTGCAATCTTATGCAAACCACACTCTTTATTATATAAAGAGGCTTTTTTTTGGGAAAGAGGTTGGAGTTGTGATGGTAGCACCCCATATCTTAATCACCATATTATAAATTTCATTCCCACTGCTAACATCTCCCCATTAATATATTTAAAAAGCTAATTCCTAATCTACTAAAAAAAATGGGTAGGGATTTGTCTTTCTCACTAAATTAGCCAAAAAAAAAAAAAAAAGCTTGTATTATACCAACGAGAGGTAGAATATATACTTTTTGAGGAAAAATAATATTCTATTAGTTTGTAAAAATTAATTAATGCTTCATGTTGTGTTGTCACTTCACATGCGAGTGATGCTATATCCCATATGAGAAATGCCATTGTGCATAATAATTATCAATCACTTGTGTTTTGTGAAAGATTTATGTTTTTGTTTTGATTAATAACCTAAAATGCACCGAAACAAGAAGTTTCATCATTGAGTAAAGGTATAAATGCATAAAAACATTGAGTAAAGGTATAATGTATAAAAACTTTGAGTATGTTTATAAAAAAGGGTTGTCATTTTTTTTTTTTTTACAAAGAGGTTACAATTAATTTTAACAATAAAATACAAAATTTTGATTGCTTGAAGTATTTCATATAATTAAAAAAAAATTTAATTTAGACTTTTCGTGGCCAATCAAGGATTCACCGCCAATCACGCGATTTCAAATCTAACATTCAACAATAGTTTTGACTTCCTTTGT